GATTGCCTTTTTTTTTGAAGATCATAATTATCTCTTTTACACCATGTGTGACCGTAATAGAGGTAAAGCGGTTTGTTCTAGAAAATTCTTATGACACATGGTAGAGTGGTTCGTGCAAATAACAAAAATCCAATAATCGAGCTATATTTGGGGCTTATTTTAACAAATATGATAAGACTTACCATTAAAATCATCATTCATTAACAATTAAACTATTGCTAAGTTGGATATTTGTATGATTTGGCCATTTGAATGGGACTTTCTAATTATATGGAAAAGTTGATCGCCCAAGTAGCGTTAAAGAGTTATGTTTCTTGGTCACATCAAAGTTTCAAATTTTGCTCTGGAAAACGAATTCTTAATTTCTGCAGTCGGCTTTCATCTTTTTTTTACGTAGGTACAATTAACGATTGAATTTAACATTTGTACTCGTGCGCAACCCTTAGAGAGAGAGAGAGAGAGAGAGAGAGAGAGAGAGGGAGAGAGAGAGAGAGAGAGATGTCTGTATTTTTAGCTGATTTTTTTAACGTTTACATGCAATAGACTATAGTTAAAACTTTCTAATAAGGGGTGAATTTCGTGGTTTACAAACGCAGTATGTAGAGAGTGCTTACCGTACTCATATTGTAGATGTTAAATATTCTTTATGATAATCCTATTTTGTTTCAAATAATTATCACAAATATAAAAATCATACACATCAAAAATAGAGGAGCACACAACATGCCGAAAGAAAAAAAGCCTTAAGCATTTTCAAATCGGTTCGGCAGCAGTGTTCCAAATGTCTAGCATTGCATCCTGAATTCCGTATAAGAATCTACTTAGAAGTCAAAAATGCGACTCCTACACATTCTGCTCTAAACTGTGTTATAAATTATAGAATAAACCGTTAATCAATTGAACCCATTTCAAGGTGGAACTGCATGCTTTTTGATATGATTGGGCTATTTGTGGCGCCAGATAATCCAAAAATAGAAGTCGATACGTGACAATGCGTCTCAAAAAATTCTTTGATCTGTTATATGACTGGAAAATTCTGTTATTAAAAACAACTGGCATGACAATGACTAAATAATAAGTTGGGAGTTCTACAATAGGGATCTTTTAGTGAAATGTTAGAGAAATTTAAGTTTAAATCTATCCTTTGTGTTTGAATTACCACTTATTGATGGTTGTGTCGTATTATGTATCAATCTGGAAATTTCTGTTTTATAGCTATTGTTCTCGAAAGTAAGACGCACAATTTACGCATCGTGTCGCGTTTTCATATTTTTAATAATTATGAAACAGTCAATGTGCGTCTTTTTTGGTTATATTTCAGTTCTAGAAAAATGAGTTGTTGCTAGATTTATAATAACTGAAACGTTTTGTAACCACCATGTTAGAAATGGCAAATGCATACGGATACTATACATGAATGGCATAGCCATAATGGCACATCCTCCTATTAAATTTGACACAAAACCGGAGGCCAAATTTGCAGTGCCCTAAAATGATTAGAATCCGAGTCTTGTGACCAGTACCGTAATTTTATTTTAATCATACACGTCTGGTTAATCGAGACGAGAGAAAATAATTTCGTTCAATAAATTTTTTCTGCATATTTAGAGCTAGCAACAATGTAACTTCTAAAGTAACTAAAGCGCCCACTAACAACAGAGTTTTATGGTTAAATAAAAGTAACTTTCACAGTCTTGCAGTGTCGGTATGTTGCCACGAGAGTGGATTTAAAAGATAGAAAAAGGGCGAAACTACGGGAGTTGACTCTGAACCGAGAATCGTTACAATATATACGTCATTGGTTACAATCAACTAACTTACAAATTAAATCGCCGAGTTTTAGCCAAAATTTTAATCTAGTTCGTAACTACTTATTTTTAAAAGTCCAACGAGTAAAGAATAATTTTTTACATGGCTTCATTGATAAATAAGTGAATGAATATTGTCACGTGAATGTCTATTTTGGGCGACTGTTTGCTGCTTACAGTGCACGAGCGAGCCTGTGAGAGCACTTTTCTCATAAACGAAGTTTTGATCCGCGTGACAACATGCTGTTAAAACAGGTCAGTTTATATATACTATTCAAAAAAAGTAGGGGATATTTGATTTTTAAGTGTTATTAAAGTCACCTAATGAAACTGACGAAGAAACAAATGACAAAATGAAATGAAGTTCACATTCATCGATTTATTCCAAATGATCGTTAGACTAAGTAAGGCACAGACTGACCATTATAAGGGTAAAATGATACCCGGGGTCAAACAGCAAAGTTACCACAGCATCACAACCAAGTCAGTAACGGGTAAATCCTCCTCTGTTTGCCAAACAAGCATTGATCCGACGTGGCATACTCCTAATGAGACGTCTAAGGTCATTTTGGTCCAGATTGTCCCATTCCTGTTGCAACGCAGCAGCAAGTTCTTGGACATTGGCAGGACGTTGTTGACGTTGACGTAACCTCTGTCCAAGCATGTCCCAGACATGCTCGATGGGGGAGAGGTCGGGACTCAGTGCTGGCCAAGGTAATGTGGTGATGTTCTGTTGTTGGAGGTAACCTGTAATGATCCTGGCCCTGTGACATCTTGCGTTGTCATCCTGGAAGATGAAACGGCGGCCATGACGTCGTGCGAACGGCACAACATGGACTGCCAAGATGTTGTCCCGGTAGTACTGGCCTGTAACACGCCCTGCAACAACATGTAAAGCCGTTCTTCCAGCAACAGTGATGCCTCCCCACACCATAACAGAACCACCCCCAAATCGATCATGTCTGATGACGTTAACGTCTTGGAAGCGCTCGTTTCGACGACGCCACACCCTCCTACGTCTGTCCAAAAAATCAACAGTGAACCTTGACTCATCTGAAAACATCACATTGCTCCAGCGTCGATTATCCCAGTGTTGACGATCCCTACACCAACGACGTCTTGCCTGAATGTGATGATCTCTCAAACAAGGGATCACGCGAGGACGTCGGGCGCGAAGGTGACCCCTATGCAGTCGATTCCGAATCGTCTAGCCACTCACTCTCACACCAGTGTCTGTTTGAAGACGAGCGCTGATCTGATTTGTTGTGATGACACGATTTCTCAAGGCCAAGGTACGGATAAATCGATCCTGGGCTTGAGTTGTCGCCCTTGGTCAACCTGAGCGTGGTCTGTCCTGTACAGATTGTGTATCACGGTATCTGGACCATAGCCTGCTTCTGACAGACTGAGAAACATTCATCGTCCGCGCCACAACCGCCTGTGTTGTGCCGATCTGTAGCATGCCAAGGGCATGTAACCTTTCATTTTGGGTAAGCCGACGCATATCAAAATTTGTTTTCTGGTCACTAAAACAATTAAACTGATGTTTCCACCCTGGAATTCAATGCCACAATGACTGTAACATTCAAAGTCAGAGTCGTGCAAATCTTGGGTTGGACCCCCATGATGATCCCAAGCATCACCTGCATTCCATGCGGTAGCTATTGGTGCGTTTGGGCGTCACATGTAACTGGAAATGTTTCTTCTGTTAGGTTAGTGACTTTTTTCGTAGTCATTTGCATATTTTAGTATTATGCCCCCAAAATCAAATATCCCCTACTTTTTTTGAATAGTATAGTACAGATAATTGAGTCTGTGGGCCACTCTACACATGGACAATATGTGGGTGTTCAAACACCACTTCATTGATAAGATTCCCACACAACAATTTACTTTTGTTAAATGACCGATGGGTAAGATCTAGTTTCAGCCATTTTCCATAGCCCTCGGTCTCGACCGGCATATACGGTCGACATGGGTCACAACCTTGGTATTACATACTTTTACACTATTTCCATACAAGTAGCAGCCATTTTGTTGGGCAGTTTTGTTTCGATTTTCCCAAAATTCAAACTCAACCTTCTTTATAGTGCAACGGTGATATATTTAAATGGTTTTTAAAATCAGATAAAAATTGTGAACTCTAAAGGATCCACAAGCTAAAAATGTGATGTTTCGTACAATCTGGGGCCATAATCCTGGAAGTTAGGGTCTGATATCGAAAGGAACCAAAATCTTTGGGATATAAAGATATATTTTAAGTTTCATCAAAATTGGATAAAAATTGTGACCTCTAGAGGATCAACAACATTCATTCGTATTACATACTTTTCCCGAAATTCAAACTCACCCATCATTATGGGTAAAAATTGTGACCTCTAGATAGTCCAGAAGCTAAAATCGCGATTTTTTCGTACAATCAGAGATCTTTGTGATATAAACACTTGATCAAAATCGGATCAAAATTGTGACCTCTACAGGATCCAAAACCTTGATATTACATACTTTAACACTCTTTGCGTACAGTGAGCAGCCATATTGTCAGGCAGTTTCGGTCCAATTTTCCTGAAATTTGAACTCAACCATCATTATGGTGTAACCAAGATATATTTGACCGATTTTTTAAATGGAATAAAAATTGTGTCCTCTTGAGGGACCACAGGCTTTAACGTCCTACTGTTCTCCTCCGAACTGGCCTAATGAGAACGGACATACGTCATACAGTGTGCTATGAGGAATATTTTGCCCAGACAGTGGCACAACGGCCTACTCTTATATCGAATTCCAACTGTCAAGGGATCTTTTACGTGCACGCCAATCTGTACACGGGACCTCCGTTTTTTGTCCCCTCCGAACGACTACACAGCTGTCCTGCACCACTGACAAGGGAGAAACCACGTCAGAAAATCCTGATGAACCTAATTAAGTTACGGTCTGTTACATGTCAATATTGACAGGAACCGAGGTCTTTTGGACTAGAAACACATATTTTTAGTTTTGTCATAATCTGATAAAAATTGTGACCAAACAGACGGTCGGGCATCCACCTGTCCTGACAGACAGGGGCAACAACATAATAGGTTCATCTTAAGGTTCTTTGTGTGCCCCCGGGACATTCTAGTCGAGAGTCTAATTCCCGTCCACTTGATTACCACGTTCTATACAATAAGAATGCAAATACAGTTTATTTACCCAAAAGATTAGTGGTATCCTGTTGATCAGCATCAACTCTGTCGTCTGTTCTGTGATTGGGTGACACTGATTCACCATGACTGGATGATCTATTGTAATTCTGACCATTCATTGGTCGATTCTGCTGATGTGGTGGACGAATCATAACAGCTGGGGCATTTTCAGCTGATAATGCAGAATTTTGATTGGTTAAATCTGCTTCTATACATTGATTTAGTAAATGATGTGAATATTGGCTACTTTTAACTCCTTGTGGAGAACTCTCTGTCGATTGTGGTCTCATATATCGTCTAGGGGAACCATCGGCAGTATGTGGTAAACGGATTTGTGTATATTCCTGAATTTTTGGCGAATTGAATTGTTGTGTGGTGCGGCAATAACAGGTGTTACTTAATAACGATTGGTTAATAGAACTCTGAACGAACACATTAGGGTCATTGAATCGACTGAAATTGGTTGTCGGGTCTTTAGTGGTATGGTAGATGTCCGATGATTGACTTTGACCCTGAGAGGAAGCAGTAGGGTAAAATAAGTGTTGTAGATCAATTTGAGGGGATGACATGGGGTGCTGAGATGGGGGTTGATTGTGGGAAACAGGCAAACTGTGAGATGCAGGTTCAAATAGTTGATGTGATCTAACCCTAGTGGTTGTTGGCAAACTGTAAAAAGAAAGATTATCAAATTATTTAAGCCACGACCTGCACTATCACAAAATACATTACCACCTGTAAAATACTTGTACTACTTGCTATACCTGTGAAAAGGATATAGAAGTGCAAAAAATGATTAACTTTTTAAATATGCTGTTTTAGAAACATGATGTCCTTTGAATTTACAACATTTGTGAATTACACTTTATGGAAAACAAAACAAACCAGCGGTTGCCAGGCAAGATACCCCTACATTTTTTTTGCAAGAGATGGATAGAGAACATGTTTAAAAAAAAAAAAAACGTGATTTTTCTTACAATCAGGGGCCATAATCTAGGAAGTTATGGTCTGAAATGTGCAGATATCGAAAGGGACTGAGATGTTTGGGATATAAAGATATATTTTAAGTTTCATCAAAATCAGACAAAAATTGTAACCGCTAGACGGTCCACATCCTTTGCATTACATACTTTTACACAATTTGCTTACAAGGAGCGGCCCTTTTGTCCGACAGTTTTGTTTCGATTTTCCCGAAATTCAAACTCAACCTTCATTATGGTGCAATGGTGATATATATATAAAGGGTTTTTAAAATTGGATAACCAGCGGCTGCCAGGCAAGATACGCCCACATTTTGCAAGAGATGGAAAAGAACAAGCTAAAAACTAAAGCGATTTCTTGTACAATCAGAGACAATAATCCAGAAAGTTATGGTCTGAAATGCACAAATATCAAAAGGGACTGAGATCTTTGGGATATAAAGATATGTTTAAAGTTTCATCAAAATCGGATAAAGATTGTGACCTCTAGAGGGTCCACAACCTTCATATTACGTACTTTTACACATTTTGTGTACAAAAAGAGTGGCCATTTTGTCGGGCAGTTTAATTTCAATTTTCCCGAAATTCGAATTCAACCTTCATTATGGAGAGAGAGAGAGAAATGGGGTTTAACGTCCACTCGACACAAACTAGGTCATTTCGGGACTAACATGGTTTAATTTTATTTCAATAATTCGCTTGCGCGTAGGGGTCTTTAGCAGTGGGAGGAAACCGGAGGACCCGCAGAAAACCCACGAGGTTGGACAGACGACCCTACTCCTTGTCACGTACAACCGGGGATTCGAAACCACGCCAGTCGACTCAATGACAGACTTTATGATACAGCGCGCGCACGCTAACCATTCAGCCATCCCCCCCCCCCCTCATTATGGTGGAATGGTGATATATTTAAACGGTTTTTAAATCGGAAAAAAAATTGTGATCTCTAGAGAATCGCTAACGCTGCAATTGAATATACATCCACATTCCTGCTTTCATTGACATGGTACTTTTCAAAATGAAGTGAATAAAATATGAACTAGCTGCAATGACTGTAATATGACCAGAGGCAAAGAAGGCTAGGCTTGGGTTTATTTTGCAGAATTTAGAGACTAAAATATTAACAAAAACGAGAGTGGGACACCGTCACAGGGGATCGGGGCCTGCACCAAAATAAAATAGTTGCTGTCTTTATGGTATAAGGAATAAATATGCAAAGTTCCAATATGATCCATTCAGAATTGCAGACTGTAGATGATAAATTACAAGGTATAAGGAATAAGTATGCAAAGTTTCAAGGTGATATGTTAAGAAATGCGGCCTGTAAACGACAAACAAATACAATAAATAGGTGTGTTTCTGCCCCTGGGGGTCGGACATGCACCAAAAACAATAGGGATCATCCTTAGGGTATAAGGAATAAGTATGTAAAGTTTCAAGCCGATCAGTTAAGAATTGCGGCCTGTAGGCGAAACACACACACACACGGGCGACGGCAATAAAAATGTGATTTTTCAAACAATCAGGGGTCATAATCCAGGAAGTTACGTTCAGGTATGTGCGATTATCAAAAGGAACCAAGATCTTAGTGTGTAACGATGATATATTCACACGTTTTTTTCTTAAATCGGATAAAAATTGTGACCTCTACGATCCGATTTGCGCAAATATCAAAAGGAACCAAGATCTTTGGATTATAAACATGTATTTCAAGTTTCATCAAAATTGTGAACTCTAAAGGGTCCACAACCTTGATATACCAGATGTTTACACTATTTGCGTACAAGGTGTGGCCATTTTGACCGGCAGTTTTGGTCCGATTTTCAGGACATTTGCACTCAACCAACATTATGGTTTAACGGTGATATATGTGAATGTTTTTTTTAAATCAGATAATAATTGTGACCTCTAGAGGGACCACAAATTAAAAAAGCGATTTTTTGTACAATCCGGGGGGAAATAACAATTCAAATCATGTCAATGCCAAACTGCCCATGATTAATTTACCTAAATGGAGCGATGGCGAGAAATGTCATCTCTTTATCCAAATCTTACATAATGGATCTTTAATCATGAAATGCTAAACCTACTGAACCTGCCATGCATGTACAGTACCCTGTGATGATGTAACCATCAGTTACTGCCCGAGATCTATTGACTTTGGCTTTGAAAAAAATATTCTTGCCTACAATCTTCGTAAAACATGTATGCACCCAACCATTTGCATACTGATTGTACGTATAATGTTTCTAGAGATTTGTAAGTTTTCATGGATTTCCTGGTAAAAATCCCGGGAGTGTCAATAAGATAGACATAAAGTTGACTGAAATCAACCGTGGACCACTTCGACACATCGTCTAGCCAAGGGTTCATTTGCTTGAGGATCAGTAATTCCAACAGATATTAGTTTCTGGCAATATATATCAGGATTCGAGAGATTCTTCAAATATTCACTCGTCATTATCTTCTTGAAAGATAGGTTGCCAGGCAACAAAACATACGCTCACAGCAGCTAAATCGTCCGAGCAGTCGTCAAGGGTTGTCACATATACTATTCAAAAAAAGTAGGGGATATTTGATTTTGGGGGCATAATACTAAAATATGCAAATGACTACGAAAAAAGTCACTATAGAACCTAACAGAAGAAACATTTCCAGTTACATGTGACGCCCAAACGCACCAATAGCTACCGCATGGAATGCAGGTGATGCTTGGGATCATCATGGGGGTCCAACCCAATATTTGCACGATTCTGACTTTGAATGTTACAGTCATTGTGGCATTGAATTCCAGGGTGGAAACATCAGTTTAATTGTTTTAGTGACCAGAAAACAAATTTTGATATGCGTCGGCTTACCCAAAATGAAAGGTTACGTGCCCTTGGCATGCTACAGATCGGCACAACACAGGCGGTTGTGGCGCGGACGATGAATGTTTCTCAGTCTGTCATAAGCAGGCTATGGTCCAGATACCGTGATACACAATCTGTACAGGACACACCACGCTCAGGTCGACCAAGGGCGACAACTCAAGCCCAGGATCGATTTATCCGTACCTTGGCCTTGAGAAATCGTGTCATCACAGCAAATCAGATCAGCGCTCGTCTTCAAACAGACACTGGTGTGAGAGTGAGTGGCCAGACGATTCGGAATCGACTGCATAGGGGTCACCTTCGCGCCCGACGTCCTCGCGTGATCCCTTGTTTGAGAGATCATCACATTCAGGCAAGACGTCGTTGGTGTAGGGATCGTCAACACTGGGATAATCGACGCTGGAGCAATGTGATGTTTTCAGATGAGTCAAGGTTCACTGTTGATTTTTTGGACAGACGTAGGAGGGTGTGGCGTCGTCGAAACGAGAGCTTCCAAGACGTTAACGTCATCAGACATGATCGATTTGGGGGTGGTTCTGTTATGGTGTGGGGAGGCATCACTGTTGCTGGAAGAACGGCTTTACATGTTGTTGCAGGGCGTGTTACAGGCCAGTACTACCGGGACAACATCTTGGCAGTCCATGTTGTGCCGTTCGCACGACGTCATGGCCGCCGTTTCATCTTCCAGGATGACAACGCAAGATGTCACAGGGCCAGGATCGTTACAGGTTACCTCCAACAACAGAACATCACCACATTACCTTGGCCAGCACTGAGTCCCGACCTCTCCCCCATCGAGCATGTCTGGGACATGCTTGGACAGAGGTTACGTCAACGTCAACAACGTTCTGCCAATGTCCAAGAACTTGCTGCTGCGTTGCAACAGGAATGGGACAATCTGGACCAAAATGACCTTAGACGTCTCATTAGGAGTATGCCACGTCGGATCAATGCTTGTTTGGCAAACAGAGGAGGATTTACCCGTTACTGACTTGGTTGTGATGCTGTGGTAACTTTGCTGTTTGACCCCGGGTATCATTTTACCCTTATAATGGTCAGTCTGTGCCTTACTTAGTCTAACGATCATTTGGAATAAATCGATGAATGTGAACTTCATTTCATTTTGTCATTTGTTTCTTCGTCAGTTTCATTATGTGACTTTAATAACACTTAAAAATCAAATATCCCCTACTTTTTTTGAATAGTATATTTATTCCTTTGTAGGTAATTGGGGGCCTTTACAAGACAGTTCCATAGAGATCGGATTATAATTTTTGCCGTTTGAGGGTTCACAAGGTACTACAAACTGAAACAAGGGTCTCAACTCTGGAAGTAATCTACAGTAATTTGACAGGCTTTTTCGTTTTACTAATTTAAATAATACATATAAATTTCATACAGATCAGATGATCACTTTTGCCATTCAAACGTTCACAAGGTTCACAACTGCCATAACTCTAGAAATTATTGACGGAAATTGCTGAAATTCAATAGACCTGTTTTACAAATTTACATGATGCATACACTAGGGACCGGGTATCGTCCAGATCTTACGAAAAAAGAAAAGAAACTACGCTTATCATCTAGAATTTAATACACGTATCCAGCTAATAGATTGCCATCAAGAATGTGTTAAATACCGTCAAGATTCATCAAAAACCGCCCAGTTTGTGCTACCGTGTAGATAAGGAAACACTGTTTACTTTTGACATCGATCGTCTGCTTTACGACCGTCCAGTTTCTCGGGATGTTTTTTAGAAATGAACACTACCATTTAGATTTGAAAGGGGTTTAGTTTTTAGACAAGGCCTTTATTTTCCCGGTCGTTGTCAAGAAATGAACAGAGAGTTTAATTACTTAAGGCGTTTAGATTTTACGCCAAATTACCACTTTACCGAGAGCCGTCTAGTAACTTACGGGTGAGTAGTAATACAATGCCGTTTACTTTTCATGTCTTGTAATTAGTTTGCCCAGTGTCATCTAGAAAATATCGGATGATAACTTTCATCAATCGAGCATTAACAAGGTTGAACAAATTGAAACAAGGGCCATAACTCTAGAAGTAATCAACTGAAACTGCTGAAATTCAACAGGATTCTTCTCTTTACTAATTTAAATGACGCATATAAATTTCATACAGATCGGCAGATAACTTTTGATGTTAGAGCATTCACAAGGTTCAATAAAGTGAAACAAGGGCCATAACTCTAGATGTAATAAACGGAAATTGCTGAAATTCAATAGGCTTCTACTTTTCACTAATTTAAATAATGCATATAAATTTCAGAAAGATCGGATGATAGCGTTCACAAGGTTAAACAAAGTGAAACAAGGGCCGTAACTCTAGAAGTAATAAACAGAAATTGCTGAAATTCAATAGGCTTCTTCATTTCCCTAATTTAAATATTGCATATAAATTTCATATAGATCGGATGTTGACAAGGGTCATCATAGTGAAACAAGGGTCATAACTCTAGACGTAATAAACGGAAATTATTGAAATTAAATAGGCTTCTTAATCTCACTAATGTAAACAACATATATCAATTTCAAAACAACTGGATGATAACTTTTGGCGTTAGAGTGTTCACAAGAAATTGTGGACGATGAACGGACGGACGGAGGCGATGGCAATATACGTCCACATTTCCATGTGGGTGTATAAAAATGTACAGTCAATAATAATATTCTCAAGAATCATCCGAATGCAATGTTTACGTTATTGACAAATGTGCCTTGCGCATGTGTGGCGCCAATTGAGGTAATTCCCTTACGAATATGACGACTTCTGGTAAATTGATCTATATCAACATCTGTCATCAATCTCCAAATACTTCACCTAAGCTGATAACAGAGGAGGCAGGCATATCGACAAACGAATTAGAAAGACGCTCTTTTGGGTTAATCAATATAGCGTCGATGACATCACCAAAATGACATCATGCTGCCTCCACATCATTAAAGATTCTTGAGCTCATTTACTTACGATCCCAATGCTTCCCACCAAAATTGAAAAACGTCCGTTATAAACTGCAGCCTTGTTTCGGAAAAGGGGGAAAAGTCCGGAACAAAAAGTCGCGAATGCTGAAAATCAATAGGGTTCAACCTCTCGTTACCCCAATGCTTCCCACCAAATTTGAATATCATCCGTTAAAAAACAAGGTTTTTGGAAATGGAGGGATAACTCTAGAACAGAAAGTCACAGAACAATGAATATTGATACGGTTTGTCCTCTCATGACCACAATGCTTGACACCAAATTTGAAAAAAAAATATTTTAAAAACTGTAGTTAGATAATTATTAGAAATTTGAAACTACCTACGTGTTTAAATAAGCTTCGACTCGGGCAGTTTGTGTCTGAGGTGTATGTGGTCGACCAGAAACACCCCCTTCCGTTTCTACATACAGACCAAAGTTAGTCGCCAGTTCGTCTTGACCTGGACTAGTTGTTTTAGGTAATTCTTGTGTCAGATTTAAACCCTGTCCAACACCGTTATTTTCATCATTTTCATTAGGATTTATTGAAGACACAGCAGACACCTGAAAAATAGTTTTTGAACTATAGTTTCTTGTGTTTTTAACCCATTAGGTACAGAACCACCTGCATAGACAGCTACTTTTGATGAGACAAATAATGAAATCACCCTGATTGCCTGTTACTTTCTTATATAAAGACCTGTTTGTTTGACCCTAGTATGCCAGTTCCTTTGTTAGGGGATTAATTAACAATTAACGATGCAACAATGGGGATTAATTAGGATTAATTAAGGGTCTACCAGAGGATTGAAACAGTTCATTGAAAGACAGTTCAATTCAATATTTTATTTCATTTCACATCCACTCTTTTTACAGATTATTATACAAAAACAAACATTTTCCTATAAAATATACAACATTTTCAATCATTCTAGAATAAAATATTGCAAGCCCACTAGGTGGGAGACAGCATCCCCATACTGGCTGACGGCGTAGTGTCCTTCATGGAGGCGCCGCTTCTCAGTCACTAGCCTCTCTTCCAGCTGCCGATACTTCCTTTTTCTGGGTTTCAGAGTGGCAGCAAGCTGCTTCAGGGTCACATCACAGAAAATTTGCTCTTGCTTGATGAGGTGGATGAAGTGATAGATGTTGGGGTGGTTGGTGACAAGTTTATTTATTTTGGAATGCCACCCCTCATGATAAATATGATGTACACAGTTCACATGTCATATGATGAATACAGTTCACTAGACCATGAAACTATACTCTGTTTAAAAGTAGTCACTCAAGAACTGTTCACTAGTGTTCAGCGTTAAATGAGCTGTTAATCCCTCTTAATAAAATTTATTAACCAACTAATTAATGACATTTTGAACACAGTTGTTATAACTGTATAATCAAGGACCAACAGGCTTTTTCTGACGCGTGAGTGTTAAATCCAAACTTGGGAAGGAAATTTGTTTTTACCGTGCGATTTTTCATTCGCCGGTGTGTTTTACGCAAATAGGTCTTTGTATAAGGACAGGTCTTTATATGTGGAGTTGTACGGGGCTGTTTCTTCTATGCGTCTTGGGGGGTTGGATGACCGAATGGTTAGCGCGCTGCGCGCTGTATCACAAGGCCTGTCATTGAGTTAACTGGCGTGGTTTCGAATTCCTGGTTGTACATGACAAGGAGTAGGGTTGCCTGTCCAACCTCGTGGGTTTTCTCCGGGTCCCTCGGTTTCCTCCCACTGCTAAAGACCCCTACGTGCAAGCGAATTATTGAAATAAAATTAAACCATATGTTAGTCCCGAAATGACCAAGTTTGTGTCGAGTAAACGTTAAACCCAATTTCTCTCTCTTTCTCTCTATGCGTCTTTTGTATTTGTTGATGAACATAAGACACAGTACGTGTTTTATAGTCACGCCACTTATAAAGTTGCATAATAAAATATAAATATGGACCTTAATCTGTTGTAAAAAGGCGAAAACAATGTCGTCATTTATAAGTATCCAGCAGTCAGACCCCAGTTTGAATATATCTGGGTACATAGCGATAAGCTAAATATACTGTATGTCTATATATGTGACCGGCCGCAGCTAAATGAGTTGGAATGCGCGCGAATCAATAAGGAGATAAAGACAAAATAAGTGAAAATATTGATTTTTATCGAAATTGAGATTTTCACAAAAATGAGTCTATAAATATACTATCTATCGACACAAAAGATCAAAATAGCAATAAAACATTTTAAAACACCTGTTACGTATTCTTAAATCTGTTCTATTTCTTAAAATTCTTGGCGAAATTAGTTATTTTTCTTCGCTCGCAGCGGGACGACTGGTCAATCCTCTTGCATAATAATTGGCATTGTTGTAAAGCGGAGCATCTCTAGTTTACAAATATGATCAAAATATTGTCAATGAATTGATTTTGAACGGATACAATCGAGTTTTAAAACCCCCCAAAAATATAAATAAACTCCGCCTGTTGCCATGCTGTCTACACAACTCATTTGCTGATTGGCCCAGACACCGCGTGCAAGACATTATCGATAAATATTTGGTTTTGGCGATAATGTTTTTTGGGTAACTTCATGCGATTCACTATGATAAGTGGCAGAAAAAAAATTAATTCTAATCGTAAATAGATTGCCGTTGCACGAATGTGTTAATCGAAACCATGTGGCTGATGATGTAAATTAATCGACAAGCGGGTGTGTGTCATTGAGTAATACTATTACTAATCAACTGTCACAGATCAATGATAACTGTCACGGGTCAATAATCTCCTGACCACTAGCTGGCACTAAGGTGCTAATTAATTGATGAGATTAACTGAGTTAATCTCACCAAAGTTATAATATACACAACAGACTACTAATGTATAGATTGTTCTTCAGTATAACACTATCATGTGAATATTATGCCGTATGTGTTGTGGATGTTTCTTTACGAAAGGAGTGCGTTTATTACAATTTTCGTCATCAGCACCCTTTAAATCCTAAATAAAAAACACATTAAAACAATAACTCAATTTTCAAAATTTGATGAACAGATGCTGTAGTGATTAGTACCACGTAACCCGTAACTCATATAACTGGTTTATTGTTTTGCGTGTTGAAATTAGTACCACGTAACCCGTAACTCATATAACTGGTTTATTGTTTTGTGTGTTGAAATTAGTACCACGTAACCCGTAACTCATTCCAGTTTATTGATAGGGCTGATCGCTTGGCACTCCCGTAAATAAAACCACATAAACCTGTAAAAAACCAAACAACAAAGTCAAGCGGTGCGTAAAAACTTATCATTACTGTATCACCATAAATTACAGTGGACTCTGTCACATCCGACATCGTACGGGATCGTTACAATATTTCGAATCACACAACGTTTCGGAATACCGAGCTTTCTCCAAAACCGGAAATACTGTAACTTCGAAAAACCGGAAGTATTTTTATATTGTAGCTTCGAATCACCAGAATGCTATTCCCTTTAAAAATGATAAACCTTTCTGTACTTTCAAAATTTTATTACATTAAATAATTAACAATAACAATGCATGCGTACAATATATTCATAAAATCATTTACATGTAATATCAATGCATGCGTACAATATATTTATAAATATCAATGCATGTAATTGTTTAAAGTAGTTTGCTTAAGATTACCGGAAGCATATCATAAGGCGGAGTCCTGGACAACATCTTCTAACAAATAAATTGTTGCTATCATCTTTTCGTCCTTAATCTGTGCGAAGTGTTTAATGTCGTTGAGCATGCGTAGGCATTTTGGAATAGGTCAAGTCTTTCGTTAATGTATATTCTTCATCGTCCCCGTCTTCAGTCAATTGTCCACTTGTCTTCTCTGTTACGTGTAAATGGCACCTGTCATCCAAGCTTTGCGATTGGCCGACCAATTGACTGGCAGGTTGATCTTGTCCACTCCCTTAAACCACTCATGCGTACAAACCACTCATGTGTACAAACCACTCATGTGTACAAACCACTCATGTGTCATTGTGTTGACGTCTTCAAATTTTGAGTTGATGTAAAATCGTTTCTTACTGCAGTTTAAATTATCGGCAAACTTCTGTTTAAATTCATCTTTCCGCTTTAATATGTCTGACACTGTAGCTTGGCCAATTGAATACTTAACGGCTAATTCCTTCTGCGCAGGTCGTGGAACTTTCTCGAAATCTGCTATAAGTTGCCGCTTTACATCTACTGTCAAATCTGTTCGGGCACGCTTTGCAGGACGTTCAGACATTTTGAATACAATAATGTATAATGATTCTTCAATCGCGGCAATTTTTATATAATGTCGCAGTATTTGACATGTGTAACTAAAATCAAATACCAAGCGCACTCTTACAAGAGATTATAAATTGTAAAATAATCAACAAAGAATTTATAACATTATCAAAGTAATCAACACAGACCGGCGCTTGCGAGTTTTAATCTCACCGATAATTGATTGGTGATTGCTTGTTAATCTTTTCTGGCTTCACACCCATTGAGTTTTAATCTCACCGATAATTGGATGCTTCACACCCACCGTTTGAAGTACGGATTATACGGTGTCGATTCAATGGAAATTATGTGACGGCACGGCTGATTGATGTCGGAATCCGGAACATACAGAATCCGGATTTACCAGCGATTTTTTGGCTGAAGTAATAAGGAAATAAATCGGGACATGAAAATCATTTCGTATGTCACAGCAATCCGGATTGATCAGACATCGGATGTGACAGAGTCCACTGTATTTTTTCTTTGTCTGCGATATCCCCTAATTAAGGTGGAAGCGGACGTTAGATGAAAAATACAGTACAGTACATATGGCACAGACACTTCCAGTTATAATAGACAGCAACTATATTTATATCATAAACGTATACTTTATACAGTTACAATAAAATGTTTCTTCGTCAGAATAAAATCAAGTTAAAACTGGAGGTCAAGCTGATTGGTGTTTGGTATCAAAAGGGACTGAGATCTTTGGGATATAAAGATATGTTTTAAGTTTCATCAAAATCGGATAAAGATTGTGACCTCTAGAGGGTCCACAACCTTCATATTACATACTTTTACACATTTTGTGTACAAAAAGAGTGGCCATTTTGTCGGCCAGTTTCATTTCAATTTTCCCGAAATTAGATTTCAACCTTCATTATGGTGGAATGGTGCATAAAAACTTATCATTACTGTATCACCATAAATTATTTCATTGTCTGCGATATCCCCTAATTAAGGTGAAAGCGGACGTTAGATGAAAAATACAGTACAGTACATACGGTACAGACACTCCCAGTTATAATAGACACTCCCAGTTATAATAGACAACAACTATATTTATATCATAAACATATACTTTATACAGTTACAATAAAATGCTTCTTCGTCAGAATAAAATCAAGTTAAAACTGGAGGTCCAGCTGATTGGTCTTTGGTATCGTAAATGATGATATAGCGATTGGTAGCTCTAAAAATGATTTAAGGAAATTATGATTAAGCAATAATATATAAATTTACAATCGAGTACATATGATCAATTGATTGGTAATTAAAGCAGTAA